TATTTTTGTTGCATTTTTCCGTCGGTTTTTCCGTGTGCTTTCTTTCAGCCGGCAACACGTAGTCGGGAGTGTGTGTGTGTACGTGCGTTCTCTTTTTTTTTCTTGTGCGCTCCATTTTTCTCTTATCCGTTAGATCGTGCTGTTTTACATGTTGCATCGTTTTCCCGGGCGTGGGTGGGCAAATTTGAAAATAAAGTAGGGGTCTATTAGAGCGCGAGTAGGTAAATTTTATTCGGCTGGCTACGGGGCGGCAAGGGATGGAGATGGCTTCTCTGAGGTGTTGCAAGTAGTACAACATTCTCAGGCAAAGCTTTGTAATGCATCACATTACGCGGTGATGAATCTAATGTCGTAAAAGATATTATCGAAAATAAACGGTATGTATTAAAGATGATATGTGCGAATTCTTATACATGCTCATCACGAAGATAAGAATAGCACTTAACAATTTTTAAATATAACATAGAAACATTAAAAATTATATTTTTTCCCACCATTCTTTGACTTTAGAAAAGTACTAAAGTAGCTAAAATAAATATGAATATTACTAAAGAAAATCTTTTTAGTTTTTTTAAGATGAAAATCTATTGCGTAATTAATATTACATGAAAGATACATTTTTTGTATTTGAGTATCTTCTAATTTCAAGTTTATTTTTGTTAATGGAAATAAAAGCATGATTAATTTGAATATTAGGCACAAAAGGAGGATTAGGGAATCGTCGCTTGAGCCTTTGTAAGATATTTTTATGATCTGCTTTGGTGTAATAAAAAAAACTGTACATTTTAAAACCTTGATTTTGCCTAAGTAAATAGTGAGAGTGAATTTCGTAAAAATGGCGTCATTCGGAGAAGTATGTAAGCTAAAACGTGTCACTGAAGATTTTAGACATGCTCCAAGACCATCACAGATACATTTACCATACGAAATAGAGTGCTGTAGTGCCATTCAGTATTAATATTAAAATTGAGTTTCTGATTCATCACATAGTTTATTTAAGTTACATTCCTAAAATGCTGTTTAGCGCCATCGGATGAATAATAAATTTTTTTTACTTTTGGACAGAACTCTTTCATAACTAGTGTGACTTTTCTTGCATAAAATAAACTGCTGCTGGATCATGCTTTGTGCAATTTGACAGTAATATAATGCTGATGTCTTACTTTATTTCAAAAATGACAGAAAATACTGTATATTGATTATTGTTATAATGAAAAGCCTGTGTTGCATTCTGTACAATTTCAGTGTAGTTTTCTGCATAGTTACAGCAGAGCAACATATGATCTTTATGTAAATTCCCTTTATTTTGTTAAACAAGAATCCAGATTGAGCCTTTACTATAAATGATAAGGTATAAACAATTTTAAATGATTGTACAATTCTTCAACAAAATTTTTTGTGGAAAGACATTTTTGTACGAAAGTGCAACAATCTTAGATTACTATGAACTGAATATTACCTGCTCTATTTATTTTCTTTCAACAATTCAAAAATAAGATCAGAAAATTCTTCCATTCTAGAACATCTCGAGCTATTCATCAAAAAACAATCAGATTTATTCTGTTTACATGAAATGAAATTTATGCAATATTTATAATCATTTAATTCAGTTTTAGAACCTTTGGTTATTATCTTCAAGTTTTTTTCACATTTTGATGTATCGTGCAAACACAGACGCTATGTGTTCCTGCACTGCCAGCAGTAACACACCATTTAGAGCGTAGCTCAACAAATTCGAATAAACCAATAGTATACTATGAATACTTTTCCTAAACTTTCTGTATAAAATTTTAATATCATAAAGAAGTAAATACCTTTCTTTAATAACTTTTTGACCATCAATTTTTATACTAAAAGTATCTTTGTTATTAGGTAATATCCGACTATTATGTTCCGTTCCATAGAATCCAATTACTTTTGAGACTACGTCTTCATTCAAATTCTTATTTTTTTAAAAGGAGGAGTAGTTAATACACTATCTGATTTTTTGAAATTCCTGGATTGAAGAGCCAATCTACAAGAACAATCAAATTCTTCGACGATTTCACGAACGCTCCAACAGTATGGGGCAGTTGTAACTATAGTTTTTCTTATAGGACTATTGTCAAGTAAATTTTTAAATTTATCTTTCAATCTAGCTAGAAGTTCATTTATAGCTTCTACTATAGATTGACAAACATTTTTGGCAGGCGATTTATGTTGAATTTCAGAATCAGTAACACTACTATTGAAAGAATCGTTTTCTGGCACCTTTTCCAAGTAATCTGAATCAGTAGAATTATATTGATGAGACTTATTTTTCATTAATTCGTATGATTATCTTTTACAATTTGGGCATTATTTCAACTTTAGATGTAAGTTTTAGAAAAACTTTCAATATACTTTTAGATATGTTTGTTAAGGCGCTGGCGCAGGGAGATGAGGCGGTAATCCCGTCGGGAATGAAGTGACACAGACACAAGACCCTTTCACTTGAACACTTTATTGGCCACCACTTGGGGTGACAGAACAGGCAGAAATTACAAGGTCGCGTCAAAGATAGTTCTGGCGGTGGAGAACGCAGGTCGATGCTGGCCGAAGGCTCAAGGCAAAACTGAGCTTGGAAGCGGCGGTGGCGTCATCTGGAGGGGGGGGCTCCAGTCTTGCCCCCACTTCAGGGCCCGCGTCGTTGTCCCCTCGTCGGGGGATAGAGGAAGGGGGAAGCTTGGGCTCGAGCCGCGCGAGGCCGGGCAACTCGACCAAACAATGTTCCTTAAGTTGATACCAATATTATTGTCTAATTTTAACGGATTAATATACCTTTTTAATGCAATGTTTGCATATCTTTTCTATGGACACTTTAATTTTCCATGTTAAAGATATGGACTGTACTTAAGTAGATACGAATATTATAAGAGCATGTAATATATCAGAAAAACGACTATCCTAAATAGGACCGTCATAACTGCCAATAGCGTGATCCGATGATATCGATGAGTGATTCGCTAACTATCCTGAAAAAGACTGTCAAAAATTTACCAACGATAGTTCACACACTTCTAATAAATCCTCAATAACTATTTTAAAAAAAGGCTACTACTGAGGAGATGTCGATGTTATAAGAGCACATAACATGTCAGAGAAACGACTATTCTAAAAGAACCGTCGTAACTGAAAATAAATATCATGGAAAAAAGATTAAAAATGTTTTAGATCTATACGATATATGCAGACGTATTTTCAAACCTTGTCAATTTTTTATTCAAAAACAACACATCCAATTAAAAAAATTAACAAGAATAGTTCATAGTTGTGTTTTTACGTAAAATATCACAGTATTTTTTGTTTTAAAAAATATTATAATTTTAGAAATATCTTCCGCTATATTGGCTCCGCCATCTTGAATTTTGAACATCTAACCGTGGATTCCCGTTCAGCGATGGTCGAGGCCCTGTAAAGTGAAGTCGATATTTTTATCCTATAGTTATAATTTCCTATATTATGGAGATGGACTTTGTTTTATTCGATTTCTCTTAAATATAAAAAATGGATGAATACGAAAGATAAAGAACAGAATTTTTAATTTTGAATTCGTAGATTATAGCGATTTTACTAGTTTTTTAAGGATAGAAGAAAATCTGATTAGATGGCTAAATTTAAAAAATAGAATCATATTGAGAACGTCAACATTCATTCCATAGCATATGTAGCACTTCAAATATGGGGATAAATTTTTTGTATGTATTATTTTAATTGATATTTTTTAGACGCCATTTTGAAGGCGCCATGCTGAATTTCGCTTAAATGCATTTGACATTGAAAAGAGTTATTACAAGTTTCAGAATGAGCCATCAAAGTTTTAATCGGTTGCATACATTTTTGGTTGGAGAAGTGATCTAATTTACGTGGAATGTCCCATATATTTATAGGTACACACACACACACATACATACACACACACACACACACACACATATATACACACACACTCACACACACACATATACAGAAGTAAACACTGTTTATCCATACGTATTCAACGTTACCACGTAACGCAACATCCGAGCCGGAGTGTGCGCGATTAAGATGATGTTAATCTTCTACTCTCAACGGTCTGGAAAACAAAGTTCTAGAAAATGTATAAACATCGCAATATCGACACTTGTCTTTCTATGAGAACCCGAGGAAATTTGAGTCGCTCAGCAATAGCCACAATGCTTTACTGCCGTCAAAACGTCTGTGAAGCGTGTGAGAATACGATTACCCACATTGGATCGTCACATTTTACATTTGACAAAAAGCTTAGAACTTAACACTATCATATCTATAATACTCTAAATATAATGTATATTTTTGAACATATTTAGACGTTTTGATAAATAGATGATAATGATTACGCAGGCACAAATAAATAAATAGGTGGTCTGTATACAAAACGATATACATATATTCCCATGTATTTTGCCACGTTGAATCCGAATCCACAGCTAGTTAGATTACACCACGTCAAGATCAATGGCATTTGAAGGTCAAACTCAGGGCAAAGTAGCTTTAAAAAAATATAATTAGTGTTTCTATGATTTTGAGAATTACTGAATCTGAATCTAGAGTCTGTTTGATTTTAACATATCTGAATCAAGGTCATTTCCAAAGTGAAATGTGTATATTGTGCCAAAAGTTAAATTTTAACTATAGATTCTGAAAGTACGGAAAAATTTTACGTACATTCAAGTATAATATTTTTCATTTTTTCTATTGCGGCATTGTAAGTTATTTCAAGAGCATTGGAGATTTTTTTTAATTCTTCAGTTGTGTTGGTCTTGATGAGGCTGGAAGATAAACCAGCGAAACATTGTCAATAATAAATTTGCGTGGAGATAATTTTTACTTATAGTATTTGGGTTTCACTTTCTTATTTCTTTGCTTTAGAATTTTGCAAGATTTTATATGATCGTAAGTAATAATATGGTTAATTATCCGTGATAATTTTTTAAAATAAATATTGTATGCACACTACTTACCAATAGGATCACTACTATCCGTTATGATAATATCATACTTCTTAGTTTGATTTTTTAAATACTCATAGCCATCACCAATAAAAAGATTAACTTTAGGATTAGATAATCCATTTGCCATAAATGGTAGATATTTTTTGGACACTTCTATTACTTTTTCATCAATTTCTATTTGATCAATTTCATTAATTCCTGGAAACTTTGAAACTTCTCTAGCTACACCTCCATCTCCCCCACCAACAATAAGTACCTTAAAATAAATTTATTAATTAAAGCAGATATACTAGTAAGGCCTTAACGTCAAATTTGTACGTGCAATATATCAGGCTTTTTGAGATCAGTACTCTCAGATCATAGGTGATGTGACATTATGCATCTGAAGATCAACATTCTTGGAATACCCCCCTCTGCAATTTAAAATAAGATTCATGTCATTATATATGGCCGATTCCATCTCAGATAATAGAGAGCTTCGTATGCAACTATATGCGAACCACACCAAACAATTTTTTGAGAAACTGTATTGAAAATATAGCAACACGTATTTTTTCTTTTTTTCCTCAGACGCATAGTTATATTAATTTTTAAATTTAGTTTTAAAAATATATAATTGCCAATGTAACTTGAGCTGCTGAATCTAAGGAAATCATTAATTTGTACTCAAAAATAATTTTTTTTAAAGAAATACATTTTTTTAATTTTGTTTAACGTCGCTCTATTTATGATCTATCAGTGCTAATCAGCGAAAAAGGCTTGCAATGTGTTTGGGAACAAATCACATGAAACTTTTTCCAATGGTGCTTGTATCAATCAGTAGGGACTGGGACTCGAACTCGGGCCTACCGGGTGCGAGTCCGTCGCTCTATCGACCAATCCATTGCAAGCCCCTTAGTAGTATAGCAATGTATGTACCAGCACACCTGCGGGGGGTCTGTAATCCTTTGGCCCCACCGGGCTTAACCCTTTGGCCCCACCGGGCTTAACCCTTTGACCCCCTCGCTTAACCCTTTCATGTTAATAATAATTATTAACAATATTCGTGGGGGGTCCCTGGTTTATCCCTTTGATTCCCTGGTCTAACCCTTCCATGTTAATTATTATTAATGTTAATAATTGTTTATAATTTTTGAGGAATGTTTCTAGGGCTCCTAGTTCCTAGGGACCCTATACCTAGTGATTTGAGTCTAATTAAATTTAATTTTTTTTTTTTTTAAAGTTATAAATATATATTATTGACAATTTACTTGCTACATTGAGAATCAAACGAATAGAAAATAGCGACGATTTTTTGAAAAAAATGAAGAGACAGACCGGAGAATCGAACCGGAGTCCTCTGGGTTGGCAGGCTAGCGTTCTACTACTAGAACCAATGCCACATGTACCTTAGAGGATGCATATTGTACACAATATACATATTAGCTACACACGCATACATTTGGTATAGGGCCTGAGCGTGCGGAGGAGGAGGGGAGCGCATGCTGTCTATAGTTCTGGCCTGATGGGGATGCGCTACTATAGTAGTAAACGTATGCTCTCTCTTTCTTTCTCTCTCTCTCCTTCGCTCTGACTCAGCGTGGACCACAGTCCGCGGAGGAGGAGGGGAGCGTATGCTGTTTATAGTTCTGGCCTGATGGGGATGCGCTACTATAGTAGTATTAAACGTATGTTCTCTCTAGCTCTGACTCAGCATGGACCACAGTGCGAGGAGGAGGGGAGCGCATGATCAGCTATGCTTGCTAACTACCCTATTATCTTAAGTTGATTATGTCTATCATAAATGTAGATAACAGCTGGTTTGAGAGTGATCAAGCTTCTCCACTACTTTCAGAAAGAGAGAGCATCTATGGTTACTACCTTCCCTCTTATCTTATGTTGCCTATGGCTATCGCAAATGAAGATCATAGACGGTTTAAGGATGGTCAAACAAACTCATTAGCGCGGACGCGTGACCATCTGCGTTTAATGTGTTTTTTTGCGGATGACCATAAAGTTACCGGGACGTCAAGATTTATAGAGTTTTTAGAAAGTGAAAAACTTTCTAGCCTACATGGGGAGTGAAAGGGTACACCAAGCGTCCTATCTCACTCAAAGAATGTCTACGTTTGTGTGTAGCGTTACATATATTGTAGAAAATTCGTACCTGATAATAGTGTGAGTGTTCAGTAGGATTTTCGTTGGTCAATCTTAAAGGAAACTTCGAGCTGTTCACAGTGAAGTGCTGATTATTTAAACATCAGTAAGTTTTTATATTTTTTATAAAGTTTATTAATAAAAAAGAAAAACAAAAACTATAGAAAATATTATCAAAGCGTGTGAGTTTTTAGAAACTGTAAGTATAATTTTAAATAATTTAAAAATAATTAAAATAACTTTTAGAATTTTTTTAATAATATTATTATTCAATTTCAGCTTACTATTGCTACCGTACAGAACGTAGCAAAAGAGCCATTACATCGGCTCTTAATTCTAATATTAATAACTGTAAGTATTTTTTTCTCATATATTTATTTATTTATTTATTTATTTATTATCATTTATTTTTCAGTTGCAACGATTTGTGGAGGAGAGCAGTCCTCAAGGACTGCAAATCCGAGAGATAAAAGCTACTGTTCAACAAGTAAGTATTATTATAAAATTATATCAATTTATATTTTTTATTAATATTTAATTGTCTTATCTCTTTTCAGTGGATCAAGGGATCTATGGCGGCCAGAATGATGGCGCATCAAGTCGCGTATCAAATTGACAAGATTATCAATGATCGCGTCAAGGCAAAGTTGGAGCAACATAAGCGTGCGGACGCTATGAGGAAGCAGCAAGAATCCGCTCGATTGGAGCGTAAACGGAAAGCCCACTTAGCTAAAGCGGAGCAAGACGAACTTGCTGCGAAAGTTAAGCGAAGGCTTTCCAGCAGATTGCTGCACCATCAACAACCGCCATGATGATTGAAGATAATGCACCAACTTCGAGGATGTCAACATCATCTGCGTCACTGACATTATCATCGTCATCAGCAACGTCGAGGTCACCATCACCAGCGACGTCAACAGCAACCTCATCTACAGCAACATCCGCAGGCTGTCAAAGAGGAGACGATAACCAAATCGATATACCACTTGATTTAACTGCTAATGTAAGTAATTACATTATAGAATTAATTAATAAATTTAAATTAAAAATAATAATTAAAAAATTTTTTTTTACAGAAAAAAATTCCGTTGGTGAAGGACATTGAGTGTGTTCGACAGAAAGTGATTTTGATTCCGGCTCAACCAACAGTGAGGAAGCCGACTCGCCCATCTAAGGTCGTCGGATAAAAAAAAATTAAATAATAATAATATTAAAAAGAAAAAAAAATTGTATTTTTAATTTTGTAAAATTTATAGAAAAAGTAATAAAATAAACTAAATTAAAAAATTAATAATGTTTTAATTTACTTAGGATCTACCAGTGCCCCCACCCCCATTCACCTACTCCACCCACCTACCTACCCTCACCCACTCACCCGCCAACATTCACCTACATAGGTTGGTAATTTAGGATGCTGTAGAATTTGGTAGGGTATTTAGTAAGCTATATGATGGTCTCTCTCATTCTCCTTCTATAGTAGGGAGGATAGTAAGCTTATACTGGCTAAGTTTGGGCTCTCAGAGAGGGGGTAGCGTCTCTAGCTTGCTAGGTGTGTACGCCGTTTAGTGTGGATGATTCTCTCTCTCTCTATGATTATAGGTAGTTTGTATTAAATTCTAGCAATATATATATATTTTATTTTCTTTTTATTGAAAAGCATCGTGTACATTGATGTCTTGTTAATTTTAAACTAATTTTTTAACATCACCACTAATTGGATTATATTGTACAATACGATCGTGTAATATTAAGCAGTAGGCTGCAGTATCTTCAGGAAAATCGGTCCGAGTTTCAAATTCTAGGCGAACATCGACTGAAGCGCTTTTTAATGTTTCATTTTGTTTGGAGCAGTCTATAACTATTAACGGCACTTTATTAATGAAATCCTTTTTTTTGAGTAACGGCTCGTTTTCTTTACCATAGTAAGCGTTTTGAAAATTAGTATACATATCGTAGAGAACAGCAAACTGATTTTGCTTGATATTTAAATTGAGATTTCTATACGGATAGCATTGTGAATTGAGGAATAGCTTCACATTACTAATATTACAATGATCAAAATTACTAGAATTAACACTTGCTGAACTTTTACGTTTAGTTTGAAAGGCTAAAATAACAAAGCGAGGCTTTTCCAATTGATTGGAAGTCTTAACACTCCAAACATGCTTTGATCTACGAGGTAATTTTGGATATTCATACAGTTCCCAAGTACGATAACTCATAGTAAATGCACCATCTCGTCCAATCTGATTGAGTAATTTGATTTTTTCTTTGTCTGCAACCATCACATATGGCATCAACCATTCAACCTTAGTTAAAGTAATTTTTGATTTTTCTGAAGCATCAGGATTCCTTACTGGAATACTTAAAATAGCATTCAAACCATCTTTTGATCTTGTGAGAATAAGCTCATGCTTGACATTGACTACAACTTTCCGATAATCTTCAGCAAAGCCAAGCAACATACTGAGAGGGATAGTCACATCAAAAAAACCTTGAGCGTTACATATTAAAACTTCATTGTTATCACCATTCCATCCGGCATTTTCAGCGATAGAGCTTTGACATGGATTGAGTGAAAGCCAATTTTTCATAAGGCTCGTTAAGCCTACATTTTTCACTTTATCAATTTCAATAGCATTTATTTCATATCGTATTTCCTAGAACAAATGACAGAGGGCGTTGTTGACTAATAAAGTGTTCTCCACTGGCGTAGTACCGTCCGGCTTGGTCAACCGACCACAAATATGAATCATACTGCGTGATGGAAGCAGAGATAAATCTTGATGTTGAATTGCTATATGGATTTCATCACTATCATTGAAATATGATAATGAATAAGGCTGATGCGTGTGAACTTCATAATGAACTATAGACTCATCGAAAGCGACACCTCAATGAATGACTAGAATTTTCTCCATATTGTTGTTGTTGTTTTGTACAGCACACTAATATGCACAATATTGTCTTCCACGATTTTCGACGACTTTCAGTGTCAAGCTTTTCAGGAATTGTCTGTTCTGAGGTGTGAGCGGTCTGATAGCTCGCTGTTGACTGGTTGTTGATTGACATTTTGTCTCTTAATATAGCCTCGCCCGGACTTTATATTGTAAATGATAC